GAGGGGAGGAGCCAATCGGAATTGGCCCTCCCCCCACAGCATTGTCCACGACAGAGTTGCCCGTCCGGCACCGCGAGGAGGTAGGGGGTTGTTTTGCCGGACCCCCCTAATGGAACATCTTCGCCGGTTAGAAACATTTAGGCTGGCCTGCCTACGATCCATCCTGGGTTTAACCAGACTGGATTTTGTGGAGGAGCTCACAAATCCTTGAAAGATCTGGGCAGGGTCCCATCGGTGAGCTCCTCCGGCGGGCAAGGCTGCGTTGGCTGGGTCATGTAGCCCGCATGCCCAGACACCGCATGCCGAAACAGCTTTTGTTCGGCCGGATCGAGGGGGCTAAACGGGCGCGGCACGGGCTAGAGAAGAGATGGAGTGATGTGGTACAGGAGGACGTGGAGCTGAGTGGACTTGCCGATGACCGGTACCAGCGGTGTCAAGATCGGCCTCTGTGGAGGAGGCTCGTGAAGGATGCTACTGGGCAGTTGGAGGCAGTCGCCCTCCAACAACAACGGAGGGCGGAGGAGCGACGCTCACAACAACTAGCGGAGTGCCTGGTGGCTAAAGCACAGCAGGTTGGCACAGTAGGGGGCACAGGTGGTGCATCAGCCAGTCATCTCAGTCAGTCGACCCGTGGCACCTGGGTCTGCCCCGTGACCTCCTGCCAGCGGGCGTTCGACACTCCACGTGGCCTCAGGGTGCACATAGCCTGGCACAAGCGTCGTGGTGACGTCACCGCCACTTAGTGGCGAATGGCGGTTGTTGTTGTTGTCTCTGTGTGTATCTCTTTGTGTGTATCTCTGTGTGTGTGTCTCTGTGTGTGTCTCTGTGTGTGTGTCTCCGTGTGTATCTGTGTGTGTCTCTGTGTGTGTATCTCTCTGTCTGTGTGTGTATCTCCGTGTGTATCTCTGTGTGTGTATCTGTGTGTGTCTATCTCTGTCTGTGTGTGTATCTCTCTGTCTGTGTGTGTATCTCTGTGTGTATCTGTGTGTGTGTGTGTGTATCTGTGTGTATCTCTGTGTGTATCTCTGTGTGTCTCTGTGTGTATCTCTGTGTGTGTCTCTGTGTGTATCTCTCTGTCTCTGTGTGTGTATCTCTCTGTGTGTGTGTCTCTGTGTGTGTCTCTGCGTGTATCTCTGTGTGTGTCTCTGTGTGTGTATCTGTGTGTGTGTCTCTGTGTGTGTATCTCTGTGTGTGTCTCTGTGTGTGTATCTGTGTGTGTGTGTCTCTCTGTGTGTGTCTCTGTGTCTCTGTGTGTGTATCTCTCTGTCTGTGTGTGTATCTCTGTGTGTATCTGTGTGTGTATCTCTGTGTGTGTATCTCTGTGTATGTGTATCTGTGTGTGTATCTCTCTGTCTGTGTGTGTATCTGTGTGTGTGTCTCTGTGTGTGTATCTCTCTGTCTGTGTGTGTATCTCCATGTGTATCTCTGTGTGTGTATCTGTGTGTGTCTCTCTCTGTCTGTGTGTGTATCTCTCTGTCTTTGTGTGTATCTCCGTGTGTATCTGTGTGTGTATATCTGTGTGTGTGTCTCTGTGTGTGTGCGTCTCTGTGTGTGTGTCTCTGTGTGTATCTCTGTGTGTATCTCTGTGTGTATCTCTGTGTGTGTCTCTGTGTGTGTGTCTCTGTGTGTGTGTCTCTGTGTGTATATCTCTGTGTGTGTCTCTGTGTGTATCTCTGTGTGTGTGTCTCTGTGTGTATCTGTGTGTGTCTCTGTGTGTGTCTCTGTGTGTGTGTCTCTGTGTGTGTATCTATCTCTCTGTGTGTGTATCTCTGTGTGTGTGTCTCTGTGTGTGTGTCTCTGTGTGTGTGTCTCCGTGTGTCTCTGTGTGTGTCTCTGTGTGTATCTCTGTGTGTGTATCTGTGTGTATCTCCGTGCGTAGGTGGAGGAGGAGCTGTGGGAGGAAGACTTCATCGAGAGATGCTTCCAGGAGATGTTGCTGGAGGAGGAGGAGTCTGAGTCGTTCATCCCGGCACGAGACCTTCCTGGTGCCACTCACGGCACAGCGGAGACACCGCTGATGGTGGGGTACTCACTCACCCACACGCTCACCCACACGCTCACCCACACGCTCACCCACTCACTCACCCACACGCTCACCCACTCACTCACCCACACGCTCACCCACTCAGCCACACGCTCACCCACTCACTCACCCACTCACTCACCCACACGCTCACCCACTCAGCCACACGCTCACTCACTCACTCACCCACTCAGCCACATGCTCACCCACTCACTCACCCACTCACTCACCCACTCACTCACCCACCCACCCACCCACTCACTCACTCACCCACTCACTCACTCACCCACTCACTCACTCACCCACTCACTCACTCACTCACCCACCCACTCACTCACTCACCCACTCACTCACCCACTCAGCCACACGCTCACCCACCCACTCACCCACTCACTCACCCACTCACCCACTCACTCACACACTCACTCACCCACTCACCCACTCACTCACCCACTCACTCACCCACTCACTCACCCACTCACTCACTCACCCACTCACTCACTCACCCACCCACTCACTCACTCACCCACTCACTCACTCACCCACTCACTCACCCACTCAGCCACACGCTTACCCACCCACTCACCCACTCACCCACCCACTCACCCACTCACTCACACACTCACTCACCCACTCACCCACTCACTCACCCACTCACTCACCCACTCACTCACCCACCCACTCACTCACTCACTCACCCACTCACTCACTCACCCACTCACTCACCCACTCAGCCACACGCTTACCCACCCACTCACCCACTCACTCACCCACTCACCCACTCACTCACACACTCACTCACCCACTCACTCACTCACTCACCCACTCACCCACTCACCCACTCCACTCACCCACTCACCCACTCACTCACCCACTCACCCACTCACTCACACACTCACTCACCCACTCAGCCACACGCTTACCCACCCACTCACCCACTCACTCACCCACTCACCCACTCACTCACTCACCCACTCACTCACCCACCCACTCACCCACTCACTCACCCACTCACCCACTCACTCACACACTCACTCACCCACTCACTCACTCACTCACCCACCCACCCACTCATTCACCCACTCACTCACTCACCCACCCACCCAGGCTGGGCCTGCTTTCAAGAGCACGCTGAACCCTCACGCCAAGGAGTTTGTACCACGTGGAGGAGGTGGAGGAGGAGGTGGAGGAGGTGGAGGAGGTGGAGGAGGTGGAGGAGGAGGAGGTGGAGGAGGAGGAGACATCGACGCAGAACAGAATCACCAATGACACTTAGTTATACACTCGCTCACCCACACACACAGACAGGCACACACAGACACACAGACACACACACACAGACACACACACACATACACACACAGACACACACACACAGACACACACACAGACACACACACACAGACACACACACACACACAGACACACAGACACACACACACACAGACATACAGAGGCACACAGAGACACAGACGCACACACAGACTCACACAGACACACAGAGACACACACACAGAATCACACATAGACACACAGAGACACACACAGACAGCCACACACACACAGACACACACACAGAGACACACACACAGACACACATAGAAACACACAGACACACACAGAGACACATAGACACACACACCCACACAGAGACACACAGAGACACACAGAGGCACACACAGAGACACACACAGACTCACACATAGACACACAGAGGCACACACACACACAGACTCACACATAGACACACAGAGACACACACACAGACTCACACAGAGACACACACAGACACACAGAGACACACAGAGGCACACACACAGACTCACACAGACACACAGAGACACACAGAGACACACAGAGGCACATAGAGACACACACAGACACACACATATAGACACACACTCACACAGACTCACACAGACTCACACAGACACACACAGACACACATAAACACACACAGACACACACACATAGACACACACACATAGACACACACTCACACACACTCACACAGACTCACACAGACTCACACAGACTCACACAGACACACACAGACACACATAGACACACAGAGACACACCCAGACACACACACACAGACACACACACAGACACACACTCACACAGACTCACACAGACTCACACAGACTCACACAGACACACACAGACACACACACAGACACACACAGAGACACATAAATACATGCAGACCGCCCCAAGTCTCCCCCCGTGTCTCCCCCCCCCGTGTCTCTCTCTCCCCGTTTCTCCCTCCCCGTGTCTCCCCCCGTGTCTCTCTCTCCCCGTGTCTCTCTCCCCGTGTCTCTCTCCCCGTGTCTCTCTCCCCGTGTCTCTCTCCCCGTGTCTCTCTCCCCGTGTCTCTCTCCCCGTGTCTCTCTCCCCGTGTCTCCCCCCATGTCTCCTCCCCCGTGTCTCTCTCTCCCCGTGTTTCTCTCCCCGTGTCTCCCCCAGTGTCTCCTCCCCACCGTGTCTCTCTCCCGTGTCTCTCTCTCCCCGTGTCTCTCTCCTCGTGTCTCTCTCCCCGTGTCTCCCCCCGTGTCTCCCCCGTGTCTCCTCCCCCGTGTCTCTCTCCCCCCCGTGTCTCTCTCCCGTGTCTCTCCCCCGTGTCTCTCCCCCGTGTCTCTCCCCGTGTCTCTCCCCCCGTGTCTCTCTCTCCCCGTGCTCTCTCCCCGTGTCTCTCTCCCCGTGTCTCTCTCCCCGTGTCTCCCCTGTGTCTCCTCCCCGTGTCTCTCCCACCCGTGTCTCTCCCCCGTGTCTCTCCCCCGTGTCTCTCCCCCCGTGTCTCTCTCCCCCGTGTCTCTCTTCCCGTGTTCTCTCTCTCTCCCCCGTGTCTCTCATCCCCGTGTCTCTCTCCCCGTGTCTCTCTCTCCCGTCTCTCTCCCCCCGTGTCTCACCCCCCGTGTGTCACTCCCCATGTCTCTCTCCCCCCCGTGTCTCTCTCTCCCCGTGTCTCTCTCCCCGTGTCTCTCTCTCCCCGTGTCTCTCTCCCCCCGTGTCTCTCTCCCCCCGTGTCTCTCCCCCCCCCCGTGTCTCTCTCCCTCCCGTGTCTCTCTCCCCCCGTGTCTCTCTCCCCCCGTGTCTCTCTCCCCCCGTGTCTCTCTCCCCCCTTGTCTCTCTCCCCCCGTGTCTCTCTCCCCCCGTGTCTCTCCCCCCGTGTCCTCTCTCCCCGTGTCTCCCCCATGTCTCCCCCCGTGTCTCTCTCTCCCCGTGTCTCTCTCCCCCGTGTCTCTCTCTCCCGTGTCTCTCTCCCCCCGTGTCTCACCCTCCGTGTCTCACCCCCCATGTCTCTCTCCCCCCCTTGTCTCTCTCTCCCCGTGTCTCTCTCCCCCGTGTCTCTCTCCCCGTGTCTCTCTCCCCCCGTGTCTCTCTCCCCCGTGTCTCTCCCCCCCGTGTCTCTCTCCCCCCCGTGTCTCTCTCCCCCCGTGTCTCTCCCCCCCGTGTCTCTCTCCCCCCGTGTCTCTCTCCCCCCTTGTCTCTCTCCCCCGTGTCTCTCTCCCCCCGTGTCTCTCTCCCCCCCCCGTGTCTCTCTTCCCCCGTGTCTCTCTCTCCCCGTGTCTCTCTCCCCCCGTGTCTCTCTCTCCCCGTGTCTCTCCCCCCGTGTCTCTCCCCCCCGTGTCTCTCTCTCTCCCCGTGTCTCTCTCTCCCCCCGTGTCTCTCCCCCGTGTCTCTCTCTCCCCCCGTGTCTCTCTCTCCCGTGTCTCTCCCCCCGTGTCTCCCCCCCGTGTCTCTCTCCCCGTGTCTCTCCCCCCGTGTCTCTCTCTCCCCGTGTCTCTCCCCCCCGTGTCTCTCTCTCCCCGTGTCTCTCCCCCCGTATCTCTCTCCCAGTGTTCTTCCCCGTGTCTCTCTCTCCCCGTGTCTCTCTCTCCCCGTGTCTCTCTCCCCGTGTCTCTCCCCGTGTCTCTCTCTCCCACGTGTCTCTCTCTCCCCGTGTCTCTGTCTCCCCGTGTCTCTCTCCCCCCCGTGTCTCTCTCCCCGTGTCTCTCTCCCCGTGTCTCTCTCCCCGTGTCTCTCTCTCCGTGTCTCTCCCCCGTGTCTCTCTCCCCGTGTCTCTCCCCGTGTCTCTCTCCCCGTGTCTCTCTCCCTCCCCGTGTCTCTCTCTCTCCCCGTGTCTCTCTCTCCCCCCCCCGTGTCTCTCTCTCCCCCCCCCCCCGTGTCTCTCCCCCCGTGTCTCTCTCCCCGTGTCTCTCTCTCCGTGTCTCTCCCCCCGTGTCTCTCTCCCCGTGTCTCTCTCCCCCCGTGTCTCTCCCCCCCGTGTCTCTCTCCCCCCCCGTGTCTCTCTCTCCCCGTGTCTCTCTCTGCCCGTGTCTCTCTCTCCCCGTGTCTCTCTCTCCCCGTGTCTCTTTCTCCCCGTGTCTCTCTCCCCCCGTGTCTCTCTCCCCGTGTCTCTCTCTCCGTATCTCTCTCTCCGTGTCTCTCTCCCCGTGTCTCTCTCCCCGTGTCTCCCCCCCGTGTCTCCCCCCCGTGTCTCCCCCCCGTGTCTCTCTCCCCCCGTGTCTCTCTCTCCGTGTCTCTCCCCCCATGTCTCTCTCCCCGTGTCTCTCCCCCCGTGTCTCTCTCCCCGTGTCTCTCTCCCCCCCCCGTGTCTCTCTCTCCCCGTCTCTCTCCCCCCGTGTCTCTCCCCCCGTGTCTCTCCCCCCGTGTCTCTCTCCCCCCGTGTCTCTCCCCCCGTGTCTCTCTCACCCCGTGTCTCTCTCTCCCCGTGTCTCTCCCCCCGTGTCTCTCTCCCCCCGTGTCTCTCTCCCCGTGTCTCTCTCTCCCCGTGTCTCTCTCCCCCCGTGTCTCTCTCTCCCCGTGTCTCTCCCCCCGTGTCTCTCTCCCCCCGTGTCTCTCTCCCCGTGTCTCTCTCCCCCCGTGTCTCTCTCCTCCCCCCGCCCCGTGTCTCTCCCCCCATGTCTCTCTCCCCCCGTGTCTCTCCCCCCCTGTCTCTCTCCCCCCGTGTCTCTCTCCCCCCCGTGTCTCTCTCTCTCCCCGTGTCTCTCTCTCTCCCCGTGTCTCTCTCCCCCGTGTCTCTCTCTCCTCCCCCCCCGCCCCGTGTCTCTCTCTCCCTCTCCCCGCACTCTCCGCGCGCGCGCAACTGCTTTGGACTTGTAGCTCAATAATAAATCGACTCGATGCGATTGAACGACCGGGGAATTCATGGTGCCTCGCTTGACACTGAGCTGCGGGTGATGATGCCACCCAAGTGCTACCCCGGCTGAGCTATTCTTGCCTATGGCGGTGGCTCACTGGCGCCCTGTCTAATGCAACGGAGGAAGGGCTAGCTTCTACATTTGAATCTTTTCGCGACTGCTAAGGATCCACTCTTTCTCCGTCTCCTCTCTCTCTCCATCTCTGGTACCTATTCGCTAAAAAGCGGACCACGTGGTGGGTTAAAAACAATGAAACTTAACGAAAAATCGCCGGGCGTCTAGAGAGGACATAGCTGGAGCGAAACACACACACACACACAGAGAGAGAGAGAGAGAGCCACGCTCAGGACCGAGACCTTTAAGCCGTGTGTGTGCGAGAGAGAGAGAGAGGGAGAGAGAGAGAAATTAAATGTAGAATTCGATTGCCTTCTGCGGGTGGTAGGGGGAAAGGGGAGGGAGGGTTTAGGAATGAGGTTTTTACCCTTTTAACTGGCCACAAAAACTGACGCCTTTATTCAAGGCATCGTGTTTGCAATAACCACAACACAAGCAGTCAAAAATGCTAACAAAAAAGAGACAACTCTGATGATGATAATAATATTGGCACTGTCCTTGAGTTTGATTGGTCCACACCCGAGACAGATTTTCTTAGAGCCCCTTTAGTCTCTCCACTGGTGTTGGACCAGAAGATGCCAAAAGGCGTACAACTCAACAACAGCGCACTATCAGAGTTATTGAGGGCTCAGGGTGAGAATTTACATTATGAGACCTCCTTTGCCAGTAAACAAGATATAGTAATGAGGTTTTTACCCTTTTAACTGGCCACAAAAACTGACGCCTTTATTCAAGGCATCGTGTTTGCAATAACCACAACACAACGCAGTCAAAATGCAAACAAAAAAAAAGACAACTCTGATGATGATAATATTATTGGCACTGTCCTTGAGTTTGATTGGGCCACACCCGAGACGGCTTTTCTTAGAGCCCTTTAGTCTCTCCACTGGTGTTGGACCAGAAGACGCCAAAAGGCGTACAACTCAACAACAGAGCACTATCAGAGTTATTGAGGGCTCGAGGGGTGAGGATTTACATTATGAGACCTCCTTTGCCAGTAACAAGATATAGTAATGAGGTTTTTACCCTTTTAACTGGCCACAAAAACTGACGCCTTTATTCAAGGCATCG